CCCGGGGATCTCGGGTTCGGCTACGGACGCGATTGGGTTCCGCGGAAAGGCCAGGGCATGACAGCCATTGGCCCAAGCCGCAGTTTCCCCAGTTGTAAAATGGGGCTAGCTGAAACACCGCCCCCAAGGCGGGTCGTGGGATAGAGCCAAACCCTCGCGAGGACTGTCGCGGACTCGCGACTTCGGGCTGTGCTGTGCGGGGCGCTGCAACTCCACTTCCCAGAGTGCCCCGCGGTAGACCTGGTGGCGGGACTCCATTCCCCAGGGGGCCCCGCGTCGACGTGACGTCTTCTAGAGCGTCCCACGCCGATCTGTGGGTGGGGACCCATGGCCCAGAATGCCCCGCGGGCGGGGACACCATCTCCCAGAGCGCCCCGCGCCGGCCGGCGCCCACCTGCCGGCGCCCACCGGCTCGGAGCTGTCGGGTCTGTTTCCCGTCGGGTGCTGCGGGCCTCTCCCCCTGACGGCTTCTTGGCGGCCGCGACAGCGCGATGGACAGCCCGGAGGTCACCTTCACGCTGGCCTACCTGGTGTTCGCCGTGTGCTTCGTGTTCACGCCCACTGAGTTCCACTCAGCCGGGCTCACGGTGCAGAACCTGCTGTCGGGCTGGCTGGGCAGCGAGGACGCCGCCTTTGTATCCTACCACTTGCGCCGCACGTCCGCCACGCTGCTGTGCCACTCGCTGCTGCCGCTCGGTGAGCAGGCCGGACCCTCCCCCAGAGAGTCCCCGGGGCGGGGCGCCGACCTGTGTCCCCCTTGGTGGACAGAAGTGGCCCCTCGGGCTCGCGGCCGAGTTCCGGGATCCCAGAGGTGGCTGGGCCGCGCGGGATTACCTCCCTGTGGAGAAGAGTCGGGGGAGAGTGAGCGGATCCCCGGTCGCCCCGAGCTGGGGAGAAACGGCTGACCCTGAGAGCCGAGGCTGTGGGCCGGCCGCCCCGTGCGCTCTGAGCCGGGCCTCTCGCGTCCGCTGCTCCCAGGAGTGGAGAGGAAGGTGCTGGCGGCAGCTGGTCGCTTGCAGGTGGCGGAAGTGTAGGCTTAGAATACTAGCGGGGAGCATAGTGATGCTTCGCCCAGCCAGGGCAGGTCGTGAGCTATTACGTGAGGCGGTGAGATTCCAACGGAAGGTGGAAGTGAGAAGGCGGCAGAGATGGGTAGCCCCATGGGGGTGTCACAGGTGCAAAGGGCGGGGGCAAGATGCTTACACGTTGCCCAGGGGTTGGGCTGGGCGGTGATCCAGGTGCTATCGGGCCTCTCCGAGGCTTGTTTGCCAACTGGTCGGACACCGGGAATTGGCTGGAAAGCCGGTTGCTACCTGTGTGTGGGGGAGTGGTCTGGAGGATACAGAGCAGAAGCAGGTCTGGAAGGGCAGGTGGCTGGCTGGTAGGGGGCCCTGTCTATGGCTCTGTGGACTCCGGAGTTTCTAGCTGCCAGCAGGGCGCAGCAGCCTGGGCTAGGTGTGGAGAGCCACCTGGAAGGGGCTGGGCTGAGGCCAGGCATGAACAGGAGAGCTGCCTGCCTAATGGGGAAGGTGAGCAGAGGGGAGCCCATGGCAGCATGGAGACTGGGTCTTCGTGATGAGCTGGTGGTCTCCATGACCAGCTTGGGCTCTCCACCTGCTGTCAGGGTAACTGTATGACTTTCCCAGCCTGAGACCCCAGTACCCCCTTAGTACCCCTCAGATGAGGAAAGTGCAGTTCAGAACTTGGGCTCCCGGGAACTAAGGACCCCCACAGTTTTCTGGAGTCCCTTTATCTACACCTTTCCTATAACCTGTGAGGAGCTGAGCCATCACCATGCTGCAGACGGACAGAAACCAGAACTTGGGGAGCTGAGTGACTCATGCAGGTGGAGGAGATGATGCAGCCTGGCCTTGTGGCCAGTCCTGGAGTCTGTCTTTTAGGAACTTGTTTTGAAAAGCTTTGAAACGTTATTGTGTATTACCTGCTGCTACCTAGTAAGTTACCTTAAATGTAGCAGCCTGAGCAACAGCAAACAGGTCACCATTATTTCTGGAACCTTAAGGGTGCCCACACAGCCCTTCACTATTTACTTTGTTTTGACATGCACATTGGCCCGGATCTGACCTGCAGGGGCCCTGGAGCGTCCCCACGACTGTGTGCTGTGCGCCGTTATTCTTTGCTTACTGTTTGGCACAGGACATCTGTGCTCCGGGATGGGCCACGCTCTTATTTGCCTCCTCAGAAGGGGTGGGGTTGAGAGGCCAAGGTCCCACCCCTGGGAGGGCCAGTGTGCAGCTCTGCCTTGGGGGGGACACAAAATTCTCGTATTCGTTTTCGCATTTTTAGTTTTTCCTATTTCAGTAATTGTGTACTACTTATGTAAAACTGAAGATGTAAATTAAAAATGTTTTTTCCTCGTTTATTTTACCGTTGTCATGGGCAAGGGTTGAACTGGGCCAGCCATGGAGGCAGGTAAGGCTCGCCTGCCCTGGGGTACCATGGCCTGGCTGTGGGAGCCGACAGGGCAGAGGGCCAGGCCCGGGGCTGGGGATGAGGGGAAGCACCCCTCCCCCCGGAGGTACAGGGACAGCACTGTGGCCCTTGGTGGGCACTGGGAGGGGAGAACAATGGCTTGGCAGTCCCGATTTCTGCTGAGACCCTCCCCATCCTTTGTAGGGTACTACGTGGGCATGTGCTTTGCAGCTTCAGAAAAGCAACTCTACTCCCCCAGCCAGGCCCCGGAGACCTGGCGGCTCTTCCTCCTGCTGGCAGTGACCCTGCCCACCGTTGCCTGCACCCTGATCTACTACTGGTCCTGGGATCGGTGGGCCTGCCACCCACTGGCCCGCACCCTGGCCCTCTATGCCCTCCCGCAGTCAGGCTGGTGGGCCGTCGCCTCCTCCGTCAACACCGAGTTCCGGCGGATCGACAAGTTTGCCACAGGGGCACCTGGTGCTCGCGTGATTGTGACGGACACGTGGGTGATGAAGGTGACCACATACCGTGTGCACGTGGCTCAGCAGCAGGATGTGCACCTGACCGTGACAGAATCGCAGCAGCACGAGCTCTCACCAGACTCCAACCTGCCTGTGCAGCTCCTTACCATCCACGTGGCCAGCACCAGCCCCGCTGTGCAGGCCTTCGACATCCGGTAGGTGTGCCTGTGGCTAGGGTGAAAGTGAGGCTGGTGCAGCCAGAGGCGGCCGGTGCCCGGTGCCTGGGTTCCAGTCTCGCGCCTCTCTGGGAGGCCATGACGGATAGAGCGGGCTCTTCTGGCCACCGCTCCAGCGGGACCCTCCCTCCGGGCGCCTCACCCCCTCGCGCTCCCAGGTATTCTCTGCTGCTTTATCCATGCACTCTGAGCCGCCTTCCACAGCTCTTTTCGGGGGAGCACACTGGGGACATTTGGGGGTGGTACAGGACCAAGGCTTGGTGGCTGCCTTGGCTCTGGGGGCCCAAGCTGGGGTCTTCCCATCCCATTCAGGCTGCAGCCAGTCTGCTGTCCCTCTCCCGGGACCCACTTTGGGCCTGACCCCGTTGAAGGTCAGGTGTCCTGTGTTTCGGCTGCACCCCCCCCCCCCCTCGGTCCCTCTTTGCCCTTGGCTGCATCCCTTTGGGGCAGGTGGGTGGTGCTGGTTTTGTGGGCTCTGGCTTCAGGGCTGTCTTTGCTGGCTGGTCTTCATCAGGCAGCTGGGCTGTGTCTGAGCCCCCTGGCGTTCTGGGAGGTCGTGGGTGCCCTGTCACCCTAGAGGCGCCTTGGCATCCCCATTAGGAACGAAGCCCCGCCCTGCAGAAGGGCCTTGGTTCGACGGCCCCAGCCCAGCAGTCCCCACCTTGTGCAGGCTGAACTCCACGGAGTATGGCGAGCTGTGTGAGAAACTCCGCGCGCCCATCCGCAGTGCGGCCAACGTGGTCATCCGTCAGAGCCTGGGCGACCTGTTCCTGGAGACATTTGCTTCTCTGGTGGAGGTCAATCCGACCTACTCGGTTCCCAGCAGCCAGGTGAGGGCCGGGCGGGGTAGGTGGACTCCCACAGGCCAGGCTCCCTCGGGGCCGGGGGTTGGGGGTGGGGGGTGGCCCCACAAGGCCGCGCGGCCACACTGCTGGTGACCCTCTGGGCCCGCCCACAGGAGCTGGAGGCCTGCATCGGTTGCATGCAGACGCGTGCCAGCGTGAAGCTGGTGAAGACCTGCCAGGAGGCGGACGAGGGCGAGTGCCAGCAGTGTTACTGTCGCCCCATGTGGTGTCTCACCTGCATGGGCAAGTGGTTCGCCAGCCGCCAGGACCCGCAGCGCCCGGACACGTGGCTCGCTAGCCGCGTGCCCTGCCCCACCTGCCGTGCTCGCTTCTGCATCCTGGATGTGTGCGCCGTGCGCTGAGCCGGCCGGCTGGGCGAGGGAGTGGCCTTGGGGACCCCACAGCCACCGTGAGGAGCAGCCAGGCCTGCAGGCCCGTTTGTGTTGTCAACCAAGGGTTCTTTTTCCGGCGTGACGTAGGAGGAGGGTTTTTGTTTAAAAAGGAGGTTTTCTGCTGCAGCTCTGCCAGTGACCGTGGGATGGGGCTTCTGTGCCTCTGCTTCCTTTGCTTCCTGTTTCACCAGGTGGGACAGGTGCTGGACACAGAATTCGGTGCGGTGTGGGGCCTGCTTCTGGAGCATTCTGAGGCCACCTGAGCTGTCTTCTGGGAGACCGGGAGTCTGCCCCTGTGGCTCTACCCTGAACCACTTGCCTTAATTTTATGCAGCACACTTGCCTCTTAGTTACGTACCAGACCCAGGTTTATCTAAACTGGTTGCAGTCCGTCCTCCGGGCTCCCATCTCCAAGCTGGCTGCTGGCCTTGTGGTGTTGTGTCTCCTCCGCACCCCACCAGGCTGCTCTGATGATCCGGGGGAGAGTCTGACGGTGCAGGGAGAGGCCTGGGGTGCAAGTCCAGGGCGAGAGCACTGTCTGGGGCTTCCTGGTGGCTGTTCCTGGATGGGGTGGCCCCTACCTGCTCCCTGCCTGGGGGAGATCCTGGGCTTCCTGTTAGAGGCTGGGTGAGGGGCTGGCTTCTCTCAACTCCCGCTCTTTAGTTGCATGCTTGTGGGGTTGCCTATCTCTTGGAGAGGCATGCACCTCCCTGCCTCCTGCTGCCCCCATGAGTCCAGGGAAAGGCTAAGCTTCAGACTTCTGGGTAGAGGGGGCACTGAGCTGGAGACACACACAGCGACGTCCTACGTCCAGGCAACAAGCTTGTTGGGACACAGCACAGGGCCGGCCAGTAGGGTCCTCCTGTGTCAGAAAGGGATGTGTGCCTCTTCCCAATTTCTGGTGGCACAGTTGAGAGGGCAGTCCCGGGCCCATGTGGTTGCCGGAGGGGGTCCTTGCTTGGAGCCCTCACATTCGTAGTCCTAAGCCCCCTAAGCCTGGCTGTTTTAAGCAGCGGTGATGGACCCAGCCGTTGGACTTGCCCAAGGCCACACCGGAACCCCAGGGATTTGGCAGTGGAGGTGGCTCAGTTTTGTGGACCCCCAGGGTACTCTGCAAATGAAGGCTGGCCATCAGAGGGGAGGACAAGCCTAGCCTCAGCCAGCCCAGTTTCCGGTGCTGCCAAAGGAGGGCTAGGTCAGGTTATTTTTATTACAAAAGAAACTTAGTTTTATAAAGATAAACGTATTGTAGCTAAGCGATACGGTATTTAATAAAATGATAGTCTGAAAACATACCGACTTAAATGGAGTATTTTGTTTTTCCTGATGTTCGAACTGGTAACGGGGAGAAGCCAGCTGAGAAGGAGCAGCACTGTGCCCACTTCAACGTACCCATTTTTGCTTAAAATGCGAAGGGAGGCAGGCGCTGTAGGAACCTTGCCCTCCGTTTTTCCCGTTGCAGGCCAGGGTCTCAAGAAGTCCGTTTCCAGGGCTCCCAAGGGAGTGGGCCCAGCAGTTCTGGGCCTGCGGTTCTGGGGAGGGGGTTGTGGCCAGGGCCCTTGGGGTCAGCATGCAGGCACTCTAGATGTAGGGGCCCCCGTGGGAACGCTGTGGTGGCCCAAGGGCGTGGGTCCTGGGTGAGGCCTCCAAGCGCAGGGGTCGGGGTCATGGAGGGCCCGTGGAGCA